CTTTTATTAAGAACACAGAGAAAAAACACGTATTGAAGCTATAGAATCATAAGTTCGAAACTATAATTATTGGCATTGTTAGTTTTCTTGTTTCACAATTAAATAATTTATTTATTTTAACTATAATTCCAGCACTGATTGCATTAACAACATAAAGAACCACATTTTAGTGATGCTGCAATAGCAGTACTGGCGGCAAACAGAAGTGGAAAATTGCGGTTGATTACAGTTTCGTTGTGACCATTGCTCACTTCTGAGGAAGATCAGTGTAGTATACACTGTGTATACAATCAATCAATTATTGCAAACATATGAGCTTAGCGCAGCAAAACTTCAAATTCACTTAGCTACTTCAATTTTAATGTGATTGATCCAATGGATTAGATCCACTTCAGACTTTCAGACAAGAATACCAACTCAATTGAAAAATGCACATATTTAGTGTGAAAAGAATGCGCTCAGCTTGATAAGGAAAAGAGCAGTTAAGGAGAAACTTGTTGCTTTTGTGGAAATTTACTCATTGCCAAAGATGTGCATCGGTCATGTGCTGAATTGGCAAGACGCCCGTCCAAGTTGTTGCACTCATTTGAACGAATTCGTAAATGCTATGCAATTTACAACTTTAAACGGACATTGACTGGGAAATTAGGTGGATCGGATATTAGATTAACATTTTATGAGAAAATATATGTAATACAGAAATAATAATGAACTATTTTATTGTAATTTGAATGACACAATTAATCTGTAGAAAAGTTTAATTACTTTTCATACACAATTTTAAAGTTCTTTTTACTTTTATTATTTTTATACTTATTGCATTAAATTACTCTTAACTCTTAATATATATTGTAGTAAATTTAAAGTTAATTCAGTGTAAAAATTTTTCAAAAGAATATTGAAAATGAATGAATGATATTATCAGTTAATAAGATAAACCGTAATCTTAGGATATAAAGCCTTATTGAGAGGTTATATACAGGCAACTGTAGTAAAGGCCATTACACAAACAAGTTAAACTAACTCAATAATAATTATAACATTCAGTTATAAAAAGCGTAAAGAAAACACGATATATCTGGTCTTTCAGTATCTTGTTCATCCCTATCATAGGGTTATCCATCTAAAATTTTAGTAGTAACAAAAAAGAACTACTTAACTTCGCGTATTGATTTGTTTTTTATTTTTCAATTTACAATTTACAATGTACCTACATGTACCATTCAGTTAAATTAGGTTCTCACATTTTGTGATAGCCATCTTACCTTTACGCAACCCAAATTAAAGATCTCTATTAATTGTTTGAAAATAATAATAATACGGGCATTATTGAATAATATATACCATTATCAACTGCTTTTCAGTTCACTCTTTTAAGCAAATTGCATTGCCATGAAAGGTGGTTAAATGAGTATATAGATCTATGTCTCAAAACCACGTATTATCAATGACTAAATAATACTCATAGCATCAATTAAAGTTCAACCGTTCACAAGAGTTGAACCGAACAGATTTTCTCAAAAAAGAAGGAACTATTACTTTTATCATTTATAACATTAGTACGTTTAAACTGTTTGTCTCTAAAATACGTACCGATTTTAGCGATATTAAGCCTGGTACATTCTCCCAACTTATATGTGTATGACATTCAAAAAAATACTGAAAAGATTTTAAAATTCCACTTATATTCAACATTTTGAAATGGTGTTCTGTAATAATACGCACTCCATTTCCAATGATCCTTCAATATAATTTCACCTAGTGCTGTATCACTTCAATTGCGGTACATAAACAGCTGCATTGAGTAACAGCTTTAAACTCAGTGAGAAGTTCATAGCAATATAAATAATAAATTGTATAATTGATGAACTTAATGAAATGTTAAACGACTGCTAGTCTCCCCTCGTTGCTTCAGATCTTTAGTTGTTGGAATGCATATTTCTTTCAGTACTGTACTCTCTGTTGGGCGTGATTCTGTTTGTTTACATTTCAGTTCTTCTTTGTTGTTATTGTTATTTCGTGCTTGCGATACCATAAAACTGTTCCAAAGCAAATCTATATGACTCGCTATACGAACGGGAATCGCTCAACTACCACAAAGAGATAAGTGAATTGCTTAATCGGAACGCGTGTCATCTTCAAAGCGTAGATGAAGTATGGCACTTCAGATAATAGAATTCAAGAATAAAAATGCTCGTAATTGTCATCAAACGTAAATTAAATTACAAGTGCTGAAGTGCGTGCAGTAGTCAATCTTGTGTTCTACGTAGTTATTCCGAAAGATTAAAGTACAATTATATTTTTTTTATTATTTAACATCATGATTTCTAGTCTCTTGTCTGTAATGTTATTAAAAAATGATAAGGCAGGTAATTTGTGTATCTAAAAGCGTTTGTATAAGTCATATTTGCTTTCACGCTTCAAACCATTTCTTCTGACCTGCTTCGTTCGTCTGAATGAGGGTATGAGGCATCATCACTGTGCGTTGTTTACAATTCAAATTGAAGTGCATTTGTTTCAGTACACAGCTATTCAACAGTTCATTTAAGACATTAAACGCTTTGCCTATATCTATGCCAATGTCCGACCATATTCGTATTGCTTAACTGTAACTTTAGTTGTGTATCTTAGCGCATATAAAGATTCTTTGTGGTCTTGCCCCAGTACAACTTTGTATGTGAATTGTAAACATCTGTAATTATTTCCTCTGCTTTAGGTATTAAAATAATAAAAGCAAATTAGGTAACGTCGCTTATTTGTATTGTACGCTGAATTTTCTTAAATGTTTTTTTAAAAGCTTTTGGATTCCTTCTCTGCATTACCTTACAATAATATTTGAACGCTTTTAGTACTGAACTGCTAAAAACCTCTATGAATTTCGGCCTTTCTTGTCTTAAAGATTTTAAAATGCTTAATAGCTTAAAATAACTGTGAGAAGCTAAAATCTTTCTCCACACAAATGATAAACAATATTAACAATTTATTCGTTTAAAAGTTCACTTTAAATCCACATTAATAAATTTTAGCGCCAATACATTTATAAAACTAAGACGAAGTTTTCACTATTTTTCTTATAATATATCTTTTATTATTTTTCACATTGACCTCAACAGTTCTTTGAACAATTTTCCCATACCAAAGAATTCAAAACTTATATGACCAAATTTCAGTCGCGAGCTGCTAAAGCACACTCGCCCACAAATCATTAGAAGACATGATTGAAAATATTAGCAGATTTTTCAGCTCTTCACACCAAAGACGTGAAGAATAAACTACATGAAGACTAGGGTTCAAATATTTTTGATGCTCGATATCTTCAGTTTACAGTTAAAGTGTTCATACATTTTTAGATTCATTGCATAATTCTGCAATAGAAAAAATCACACAGTTAAGTTGTATCTTGAGTAATAAGTGAAAGGAGGTTTGTTAGTCTAAATCGATCTTTCGGTTTTTACACAATTATTCGCAGCAATATTTCCGTTTGGGTGTGTTAAGGCAAAGAGCACCATTTGTTCATTCCACTTGAAGTCATGAGATATGTGCTGCGAGCAGTGCAGCTTTTGCTTAGCTTTAAGTGAACAATGATGCCGCAGTGCAAAAGGCTATCAGCTTCTATGAGTCTATCAGTTAGCCTATTATTGCGTCTTTCTATCTGCCTATCTGCCTATCTGCCTGTCAGTCGGCTTGTCACATTACATCTGTCTTTCGGTATCAATCTTAAAGTGCCTTCACAGTTCACCGCATTTGAGAAATGTTTCCCTCCCGGCCAATTTTTAAGTGATTATTAGAAAAATTAAATGAAAATAACAATTTAAAAACGCATTAAACTCTAACGATGGAAGACGAATTATGTCATTTATTTTCTGAGCTATAATTACTGATAAAAGTTAATTACAGAAACTGAAAAGAAATTCTTATCATTCCTCATGGGATACCCCAGCTAAACAAATCCACATCATAAATATTTGAATAGTTCATACATATATTGGAATATTTTTCACATGTAAAATTCTTTAAATACAGATAAAATAATAAACCGCGCTTAAAATTACAAAACAATAAAGAAGTGAAAAATGTAAATAATAGCGAGCGTTTAATCAAAATTTTTAAAATAAAATACGAGCACAATAAGTTATTTTTAAATCGCTTAACCATCACCATTATTAAAGTGAGAAGTTAGAATTTCTTAGAATAATTGGAGGATTCATACAACATCACACAACATAAACAAATGAGCTCATATTATTTAAATTATTAAAATAATTAATGGTTATGATTAATTGATTCTCCAAAATCCAATGAAGGTGCATTTATTTGGTCTTTTTGACATGCATGAGTCAACCCGCAACGCCGATAAGCGTAATTATTAGTTTCAAGTTAGCTTTTGGACTTACAAACGACACGTGCATTTGTTAATTATGCCCATTATGTCACCTTAATTTCATGGCTCACTACGATGCTGAACGGAAGCTGTAAGTGGACGTGGACGTTACGCTACATCAGCGTCAGTGTCAGTATCTTCGGTTGCAAATGCCGCAATTAATTTTGATTTCGGGCTTTAGGTAAAGTCGAAGCTTGGATTGAACGTTGTTCCATATAAAATTGGTTTCTTACTAATAAATCATGATTAGTTAACATTAATTAAATTTGACTAGCTCTTAAATAATTGTTAACAGAAACAAAAATCAAAATGTGACAAATTAAATAAGTTCAGGAAGAAATTGCAATAAATGTCAGTGCCTCTCAAAAGCTTCATCATTTAACATTTTTACCTGATTCTATGTTATAATATACACTCATACTTTACATTTAATTTTTTAATATAGTTCTAGTAATTTTTAATATTGAGTTTTGATATACCATTTCTATTATAAGTATTTTTTTTCTCATAACATAACATAATTGTGAATTATGCTAAAATTATGTTCAATTTATATTCCATGTTACATGTAAGCATATAATATACAAAAATATGTTAGTGTATAATATTCAATACTTACGAATTTGAAGGGGGATATCCAGTTCTGCCTTTATGGAACGCTATACTGAATCCAAACATGGTATTTGGTTCACGTATGTGTCTTATATAACTAGGCAGGTCAATATTATAAGCATGGCTGTGCTGCGGCAGCCATGTAAGGCAGCAAGAGAAGAGTAAAACTAAGATCTGGATCAATGGCAGTGACCATTTTGGCCTTATTCGTTGTGTAGACTGTTTTGTCATTTTGTTTTATAAGATATTTATTATTTTATAAACTTATTTTGTAATTTAAATTGCAATTTTTTCTTAATTGTTAAATCACTAATTTTAAAATTTAAATGTTTTGGCGATTATGTTGCAATTTTCGACATTATTTCGTTTATTTAAAAAATTGTTGCTGTTTGATTTTCTGTATATTTTGCTATACTAAAAAATAAGATTTTATATAAAATTAATAACTTTCAAATAAATTTTGCTAATGAATTTAAGCACAATCATACAATTACATCATTCCAATTGGTTTATATATGTATTTAAAACAATTTACAAAACATTTTACTATTTTATAACTTTTTATGATATTATTTTCATCCTTTGTGTCAGAACAGTTTTATAAAAATTTTTATTCTTATTATTTTATAAATTCATAATGTTGATAAAAGCAAATCAATTAAAAATGTATTTTTTTTTTATTTTTTGCAAATTAAAACATTATATGTATTTACACTTATAAATTTTTTAATTCATTTAAAATTGCTTTATATACGTGTAAGACATACGGGAGAGAAAAAAGAGAAAGACAGAGATTACAACAGCGGTTAAACTTCAGCTTATCAACCTTTATTACCACCCTTGCAATTTTTTTATGTTCATGTTGTTTGAGGTGCTGCTCAACACTATTGCAAATTTGAGATGCCCACACAATGCCGAAAGCTCTGCTACAGCGCGCCACTTGCTATGTTACTGCCGCCAATTTAACCTTGGCTAATACATTTTCAGCTAAAATATGAAATCAAGTTTTTTCGTTTCAGCGGTTTTGTTATTATTTTTTTCTTAGCAAACTTAACACATTAATTGTTGTTTATATTGTCAATCAAGCAATATACAAAGCAACCAACAACAACATTATTCGTCACAACACGAAACAATGTTGACGTAATATACGTGTGCAAACATATTTTGCAATTAAAAATTAAATAAAAGATACAATAAGCAACAATAAACACTAAAAGATAATATTTAGATAAAATCAACAACCAAAAAACAAGAATACGGGCATGAGCAACATTTTTGGTTAAATTTGATAAAACAACAAAATTTAAAAAATTCTCTCATATTCAAAGAATTCGCTGTTAATTTTCTGAGCTTTGCAGCTTCACATTACGAAGCTATTTCCTTTCAGCCATACAATTTACTTTTTTGTTTACATTTGTTTTGAGTTCTACTTTAAAGCACAAATCTAATAAGATTATCATTTTCCAATTAGATTTCTGTTAAGAGCTTAATAAAGTGACGTTAAATATGTTAATTCTCTGAACACACATTTTTGCATTTATTTGTATAAACTTTTAATATTTATGCTTATTGCTGTTGTATTTGTTTTTTGTCGAAATGATCTACACACCGATGTGTAGGCAAAGTAATTATGTAGATGAATAACATAAAAGCGTTAGCGTATTGCTGGAAGGTGGGTAGGTGGTAACGAACGTCTGGCAGCGCTGCCGACATCATTCTCTTTAGGCTGTTTGGTGAGATATGTGGTCCGTGTTTAAACTTGCATTGCACTTGTATTGCTGTTGTTATTGTTGTTTGGTGATCTCACTTCGCTTTGTTTATTTAAAACACTTTTATTTGGTAGAATTTGAATTTGACGAAAGAATAATACAATTCCCTATTACTTTAAATTCTTTCATTAAATTTTTATAATACAAATATATGTACATTTAATACTGAAGGCTTTTTTTCTTTATAAATAAAAATGTCAGATTTTACCTAAATTATTTGTTAAGTTTCAAAACATTTTTTATTTATTAAAGTATCTTTTCAAGTGCTGTAGTAAGATTTGCAAGAACCAGCAGAAGTAAGTATTAAGAGCGTTAACACAGGGATTAAAACATTACGGTCTACGATAAGCTAATTTTGTTTTTGTAAAAATTTACCAACAAAAATTTTTTTTTTCATTTAAATTAATTTAATTCAAATTTTTCATAAAAATTGTTATAAATAATCAACTTGGTTTAAATTTAAAAATTTGAATTTATATTAACACACATTTATATCTATTCACGTTTGATTATTATTGTGTGGGTAAAGTGATCTCAGATATTGGACATATTTTTCGCTTTTCGTGTTTTTTGAATATATTTATTAATTTAAGATGATGTCAATAACTGTTCCGTATGGCGAAAGAGAAAAACATATATGAATCAACTTAACATACTAAATAAAAAGCTCCATCTAGTTTCCACAACACGAAAACAGTCAAAAATTTTGCTTTAAAAAAAATGAAAATTATTATTAAACAAATCTAATACTTATTTGGAACGAATCGAAATATTCTAGTTATTGTACTCGTATTGTGGGCGCCAAGTATTACCAACCTCCGCATCTGGTAGATACGAATGTAAATGATCAATGAATAAGTTTCGGACTGCTATTATTGTTGTTGTAATATTTGCTCAATTACAAACTATAAAATTACAACTACGAATGTGATATACACCATATGGTGTCCGATTCAAGTTATTCAATTAAAATTGTTAAACAAAATTTCATTACACATAAATTGTGTGTCTTCACTGGCTTAAAGACAAAACACACAAATTATAAAATAAATGCAAAAACAAAGGCAATACTTTTAGTATTACAAAAAATAAATAAAAACGTACAAAATGAAAAATAATAAATTCGTTTTTAGAATTTCAACTTGAAAAACTAAAACTCAGAGCAGAAGAAAATATCTAATAAATTAATATGCCAAACACATGAGCAGTAACGATCGTGCCCTCATCGGTATTTCAAATAGAGAAAGAAGAACGCTTGTGTTTGAAATCGTTTTTGTTTTTTTTTTGCTAATGACTTTTTCAATATTTTACACTAAACACACATACACATGTGTTTGGGAGTGTGTATGTCTGTACTGAGAGTGCAAAACCGTTAAATTAGATTCAATTAAAAAGATTATAAGAAATCAAAAATGATATATGTATGCCTCAAACCTAGAAGGGTAACAAAAAAAGGCGCCATGAATATGTAAAATGGAAGTAAAGACGAAGAAATCAAGTAAAACACAGAATATTGGACTGAACATGTTTAAAAGGAAGAATGGATTTAGGAACTGACTATTTCTGCTGAACACATCTTTTAATAATAATAGTCCCTTATAACATACATTATTCGCGAACTATTTAAACTAGCTAAAAAAAAATCCTTAATACATTTAAAATATATTAAAAATAATTAATGGCTAATAAAATAGAAGTTTATTATACACAACCATAATTCCGCTAGTTAATTGAACACTTTGTTTTTATATATATTATTCATGAAATAATTCATTAATTATTGTATTGGCAGTTCAGAAAATTTTAATGGACTTGGTCTATTTTTTCAGGTTATTAATTTAAACCTGATATATTCAGGCTAATATTTATTAATAAAAAAAAAGAAAGTATAGGAGGAATAATGTTTTTGATTTTATTCTTTACTTTATGTAAATGATCGTAATGATTACTACCAGACTATAACGTAGGTCCAATAAAAACTTAAAGATATACTGTTATTTGTAATTAAAACCAAAGTTTCGCTGCAAGTATTTAATTAAAAATGAAAAAAGTCACCATTAAGAGTAATTTCTTGAATGTACTTATACAATATTAATTAATTATCGTTAGATAAAAGTATTTATTTGCTCTTGATTTATTAGAGCTTATTAGAGCACTAAATAGTGGTCCAAATCAGAAACTTTAAGATTAAATATACTAATCAAACATCCCAGCAGTAACTTATTTGAAACAGATAGCTTCCTTAATTTTATGTAATTTTTATTTTTCTTTCTTATTTGGATTGTATAGAAATCAAAGCTAATACAGGTCAATACAGAAATAAAGATTAAAAACTCATATGTTTCTTATTTCTACAGAAATTATATGTTGTTCGAATATCTGCAAACAGATGAGATCATAAATCCTTGGCATATTTTTTCAATTCATTCACTTTTGGTGCTTTTTTGACGATCCTTTTGGTTTTATATATAAAGCGCTTTCATTTTCATTTTTATCTTTAAGTTTTTTAACTTCTTATTGTGTTATTATTATTTAATTATATAATAAAAGAAGGCAAAAAAATTTAAGAAAAAAAAATTATAACGAAAATTTTTGAAAAAAGTTCATCTTCACGCAAAATGATCAACGACGTCTAAAAATAGATAATTTCGTACGTAGGCAAATTTATTGTAGATAGAATTAGTCACTAGTAGGGGCGCATAGAATTAAAATTTTAGATATTTTTCACAATTTTTATATAATTTTTTTGGTTAATTATTAATTCATTGATTTTTTTACACATTTTAGTTATCACTTTACTATTCAAATAAACTGATCACTGGTAGATCGAAGTCCTTGATTATTAGCAAATTCAGTTGAAGTTATAACTACTATATTTATTTCCAATATTCGTGTTGTTAATTTAATAGTTATTTGATCATTTTTACGCTTTAATTGTTCTATCGTCAATAGGCGACGAGTATTCGCAGCAGTTTGTGCGAATGTGTTTAGCAGTCTGTGAAGGTTAAATTAAGAAATTCTAACTTTTCGTTTCACTTGAGATGTAGCGAACAGACAGACACAAGCATAGTCTGGAGACAAGAAGCGACGTTCGTTTCTATTGCGCTGCAATGCGAATATTTATCTGAACTAACCGCCACGAACTATCAACATCAACTGAACCGTTGTTGCTATTTTAAACTTCAGACTGCTGAGATACACACACTGCTAGGAGATACTCTCGTGCTATACAGCATATCTGCTCACCGTACGCCAGATACAAGTTAGAAGAAATGTAAAAATAAGCCGAAAAAGAGTACAACGAAGACATTGTTATTGTCTGAAACCGATGAAACCAATGAAACCGAGCAAACTTAAAACATGTAAGAAATATGTATTTCAAATTAAAGATCGAAGAACAAAATATGTATTCACTATATGTAGGCAAAAATTCATGGAATATTCAGGAATATTGGGATCTGTAAAGGTTATTTGTACCAAATAAGAGTTATAGAACATTGAATATCGCTCGGATATAAGAATATTGAAATAACTATAGCCGTGGTGCTCATTGTATTGTATAAGGTTAATAATTGAAAGCATGCGATCCGCTACTAATTTGAAATTAAAGCATACAATCCTCAAATTGTTCTAAACAAACAATTTAGGTGGCAATCAGAGCGCAAAGATCGATCGCATACATATCAAATACATTATTGAACAGAACGATTTTTTAAGATGTTTCAAATTATAGAACTTTTTTAGAATATTGAACATTAATTGTACCCTTTTCGTGCTGGTTCTCATTTAAACATAAAAGAAATATATAACATCCTAGACCATATATGAACGACTTTACAGAAATAACTCCATTGATAATAATTGCAATAAAATATCCTTGGCCTTATAAATTTTTTCTATAACTTATATAAAAAATTCGAAAGCACAAAGATAGAGGAAAATAGTGAATATTAATGATTACAAAAAACCATGGTTCTATAATTTTGTTCTGTATTATAAGGCGGGACTCTATTGCAAAAGTATGTTCAGTCTCTATTTAAAGATACATTAATTTAAGTAATTTAATTTTCCACAGCTTTGGGTTAATTATTACAAAAGTAGAATTCTTATAATGTATACACAGATATAAACTATAACAGATATATGTAATTATGAATTCACATAGATTAGTCATCAAGAAGCAGTAGCATAAGTGGTTTTATGAATGTTATCTTCATATAATCATAATGACTATCAACAACAATATCGTCCTCATAATTGTCGTCTTACGACAATTTAGCCATAATATTTATACGAGTATAACAAGAAAGCACCAATAATGAAAATATGAGTCGAGTAAATATCTGAAAATCTTCTTGCAAGCATTACTAATCTTTAATAACATTTTGGGGATTCGGTCTTATACACTACAATATTTTTTAAAGAAAGTTAGTTTTATATCAGTTAGTCTTGTAAATCTTTCACTATAAATAGAAGTCTGGTACGTCGAATTTCAACAACTATTTCCTTGATAGTGTTGTACTCAAAAATTTATATAATGCTAATCTATTTAAATTTAAAAACTTCTTGCCTAAATAAAATAAAATCGGTATATAAACACGCTGCTAAAAAGTATATTCGTTGTAGTGTAGTTACCATATTATATTGAAATCCTTAATGGATTTCACTTTTCTGGATAAAATCCACAAGAGATATGTAAGGTTTGATATTTTTCACAAGACCGCAAAACAAAAAGCATCAAGTCAGCTCCTCACTTAAATTTAATAAGAGTTGGTAGAGCGATATGCAATTTATAAAAATCAGCGGGTAGGAGCAATATCGTATTTAAAATTGGTTTGTAAGTATTAAAATGTACAAAATGAATAGAATATATAAAATAATCTATTTGTTTAAGTAGTTTTTTTTTTCTAATCTAATTATTTTGTCGTAAGGTAGTTAAATTTATTATAAGAAAGTAATAAGAAAATTGCAACAAATATCTTATTAAGCTAAGTTATATGTGAGTAATGTGGAAATTCAAATAAGAAACAAACTATGAATCCAGTCGTTTAAAATTATACCACAATCACATTTTATAATGCAATGAGTCAAATTATTCTTTTCAAAACATTACCAAGTCTTCTTACTCACATCAGAGGGATCAACCAAGAAAATTGTTTAAGAAAAATGATCACATTTTTAAACGAGAATTTAGTTCGTAATAGTTATAATTTAATTTATGTTTGTATACGTGAAATATTTTATTCCATATAAAATATGGAATATTTTATATAAAAATATATATTTTTTCATTTTTTATTTATTTGTTGTTATATTCATCATATTTATTTTATTTAATATTTCTTTATTTATACGATACCATATGTATTTATAATCTATTTTTAAACTTCTTTAGATTTAAGGATGTATTAATTTTTTATTTAAAATTATTAAAAATATTTTTTTTATTATTTTTTATCGTTCATTAATTCGTTTAATACACATTATTAGTATAAAATAAAAAATATATAGAATATGTACAAAGTTTATTTACTTATGACTATAAAACACATTTTTATTTGAACAGAAGAAATTTTATAATTTAAAAATTTTTATTTTTAAATCAATATGATTTAAGCACGATTTTTTTGCTTAAACATTTTTTTACATAAACTACTTATAACTTTTAATATTAAGAATTAAAAGCGTTTTTGTAAACGAAAATGTTTATTTAATCACTTTCTTCCCGGAGCCGCTGCAACCTCACACTTTGAAATCCACAACATAACTAAATAAATGTTGACTAAAAACACGAGAGTGGTGAAGAAAATGATTTGACCAAACGCAAACAAATTTTATAGAATATTCACCACAACACAATTTGCAACGGTTTTCATGCTCTGCTTTGTTTTTAAATTTTTCATTCATATTATTTAATCTTTCTTTTTATTGTAAAAACAAAATAATACAGTTAGTATATATTTTTTTTGTTTATTATATTTTATTTGGCCTTGAAAAAAATATGCACAATTTGAAGTTTGAAAATAATTGAGGCCAGGATTATTGTACAGAAAGGGATTACTTCGGAATATTCTTGAAAAACAAATAAAAGCCGTGTTTCCCTTTTCAGTCTTATAAAGATTAAAGAGGATGGCATCAAACTCAAGCCAAAATCATTGGATGGAAGTATATGGAAGTGTTGATAATTAAAAACCATTTTTAAAAAAAATTCAACTATTTAGAAAATGGCAAACAATAAATAACATATCATATGGTGTTTTAGTAGAAAGTTTAATACTTTCTTGTTTAATTGGCCAATAGAGACGTGAGTCCGCATTTGCCGCATCGAGTAGCCTCCGCCAACCAGCTCGATCAATGACTTGCTGTCGTCAGTTGGTAATACTGAGCGCCCCAAATCGTTGGTCAACTGGTTTTTGCACCGAAGATGCTAACGTCCTCTACCTCATTTTCTATCAGTGGGTACCGAATTAAAAACCTCATTCCCACAACATGAACAAGCCAGCGAAGCCGCTGAAGTTTTTTGCGCTTAACTATATCAATGTAGCGGTATAGTTCATAAAGTTCGTCGTTCCATCTAATTCGATACTTGTCGCTAACGCGTAAGGTACCATGGATTTTTCGAAGAATTTTTAACTCAAATGTTTCTGCATCATACAGCAGGACAGGTATGATAAGAGACTTATGAAGCGTGATGTTTGTTTGTCGAGAGAGGACTCTATTTCTCAATTGTCTATTTAGAAAGTTTAATAGTTTAAGTAACATGCTTTTATAACAATTTTTTAATAAAAAAAGGAATAACTCATTTACAATTTTAATTAACTCTTTTTAATTTGTATTTTTGTATATACTTGGCTGCTTGAGAATACACATATTGAATTCGATTTGAGAACCGCATATTTAACAATTGACATTAAATCGAGATACATACCGATATATGTAAGATTCTATAAACATAGAGAACAGACTTAAACAAAGGCAACTTGATGTTACATTACTCATATGAACCTTGCAAATTAAATTGATAATTATTCATTCGAAAGTTCGCTTTAAAATTTCAAGCAATAAGTATTGGGATTACTTTCATTAATATTGTTACGATTTAGGTTTAGTTACTGATTAGGCTTATATGTTGCTATCTCTGGATTCTTAAAAAATTATATTTTCAATCTCTACTTCGCTTCATAGTAACTTATTCCCCTCACATTCACCTAGCCCTGTCATAACACCACCTCCGCTCTTTGCGAGATGACATCCCAAATCTCCAATGGCCCAAACCAGTCGTCCGTGCGAATGCACGGTGCTAGTTGGTCTTAATCTCGCATAGCACCTTAGTAAATTATTTGAAGCATCTACCCCTGACTCAATAAAAAGATGGCTTTGTAACTGTCTCATAGGTAGATGATCCATCGTAGACTTTAAAGTTAAAATATCAAAACCAGGAAATTAAAGCAAGATGTCCCCCAGGGCAGGGTTCTCTCACCGATCCTTTTTCAATATATACGTGTCTAAACTCCTAGACCTCCATGAGGCAGTCAGAGTCACAACGTATACATATGATCGCACAATTCTAACTACGGGCCAGAACTCTTCTATATTGTGCAACAAGTTAAATGACTGCCTATAAATATTGGTGCCACCACCAAACCTAAACACGTATATTCCTGTATGTCCAAACTGCAGATCTACTTCAATCCAATCCTTACTCTCATTCCCCCTCCATCACCCCTGACCACTACCCATCCACTTCCCCGCCGATGTAATCGCCTTGTATATCCTTTCATTTTATCTGCTTGCTAGTTACAACAACTGGGAGCTTATCGACGCGAAACACTTCCATTCATTGAGAAAACTGAATAGCATTTGTTTATTAAGTCAGCAGGAACCAAGGGAACTATAAATTTATGTTCAAAAAGATTCATTTCGTAAGTAATATTAGCGTCTGGTTAGAGTCCGTTAGGAAACTTGCAACTTACAATATTTTACAGTTAAACATTTCAAACATTTTTCACATACATAGATGTTCAACTTTATTGATTGTAATTATCTTAAATAACTTAAAGATTCTGTTTTCCGGATTAGTTTTTTTAAAAAAATAAATAGATTACTTCAAGCAGTTTCTTATATTCTTAGGATGAAATTGTGCGATGTAAATGAACAATTATTTAATGGTTATAAATGTATGGAAAATATTTAAACCTATATTTTAAAATTAGCAAACCAAATTTACTGCAAGAGCTCTCCTCGCACAATTTCAACAATCATTTTATGACGGAAATATTCCATATGCTCTTGGCTAAAAGTGATTGCCTTATCACGCGTAATGAACTCGGCGAACATGCAGCTAAAAACACCGCAGTCACTACCGTTCATCTGTCGCGGCACATCTTTTACTGATTCAATAACGAATCCGGAGGTATCAAACGGAATTTTTTTCTTATCAAGTGATTCTTCCTTAAGGTACCCCTCCAATGCATTTAACACTCTTGGATTAGGTGCCCCCATTGAATCATAGTACTTTATAGACTTATTCTTAAGATGAATTATTGCCATACACCAGTGAACACCGCTTACATGAACAGGAACGGGTATTATATCCTTTTCGAAAATGTCCACTTTACGTGTCCATCGTTTGACTGCACTAAATCCGTGTTCTAATAAGCGTGGAATAAAAAATGTGTTCATTGAATAGACTTTGGGAAGACCGTGCGTCTTGTTCTTTTTTTCACTGCGCTCAGTCAATAAATTCATGTAAAAATTGATTACTTCATCATTTAGCCACTGTTTGCCAGTCAAGGTGTTCAAGTCTCTAGTTGTAGCGTTAAGATTGAATTTATTAATATGCACCTAAAATTTCAGTCTTAAAATTATATAAATCCAAATAAATTTATTGAATATACCTGATCTGGTGGTGAACGCAAAACTCGGTGAATTAGCGCGTTATGCTGGTCCGTTAATTCCACCAATTGGTCTTCGTCTTCCTCAGGCTCCGGAAATTCATCAATGACTACAATTCTAGGATCAAATATTGAAATCTCTGCCATGTTGCGTAGAAGCTCTCGCTCAGCTTTAATTCGCTCAGCAGAACGTTTATCGACCCTAAATTAAAAAAATTTCATTATTTTTAAACTAATCCAAAAAATGACAAAAAACACATACATGGTTTTTACTTCAAGCAATTGTTTTTTTGATTCTTCTTGTTTTTTCCTACATTTCATTTCAAAATCCTTTAACCAGTCTTTCTTAATGTGTGGCGAAAGTTCAAAACGCTCCTTTAACGAATTTACTGGTGCAACCTCTGGCCTATAATAGAATAATATGAACATTTATGTGAAATGAGATGTTAATATCGTCTTACAATTCCATTTCATCTGCAGAGTCATTATCATTCAAACAAATTATATCATTATCCTTAATTTTACTGCATTGTGATATAACCGCTTGTTCAGACTTTGTTAAATCTAGTACCTCAATTGGGTCGTCATCCACGACGGTTGTAGTCGAAAAGCGTTTTACCTGACGACTATTTCTTGGATTTTCTTTTACTAAGATGCATTCATCACTGTCTTCATCAAGATCTATTGAACAATTTGGAAGTGGAACGTTGCAATGTGCTGTAGAGTTTACTCTCTCCGAACAGGAACTATGTTGTGGTGCTTTTTGAGAGCTACAATTTACTTTCTTCGATGTCAATGGCGCATACCGTGGAGTATCGAAAGTAATTGCTAACGTCTGCAGTAATTCGGCGTATTTATCGCGGTCATTAAATGATGGCAGGGAAGACACCGTTTTAGCCTTTGTTATTAAACGTGGTGCAATGCCTGCTAATAAGACAAATATTGTAAAGTGTTTTAAATACAGTCATTTTTTTTAAATACATGTAGAATTGCCATGATTTCCAAAAGCCTGATTCAAAGAATTATCGTGGTCCAAACGTTTGCATGTATGTAGAGCATTATAAATTGGTGCTTGAGAATAGATGGGTCTTTGAATAGTATTTAGTTCCGGTAATCCTAATGAAGCCATTCCAAATAATGACGAAGACGGTTTTGGTAAACATTTTCGTCCTTCTTCACGGTGCAAAGGAATGCGGAAAGTTGGCAATGGTTTTCTTATATTTCCTATATCAATTCCATTGACTATTTCAGGTTCATCGTCTGAGAACTCATCATCAACATACCCACAATTTTTGACAACTTTGTGAGGCATAGGCTGAGGAGTAAAGTATGACTTCTGTAACCTAGGTTTTTCTATAAGTAAAAAAATATTTCATTTCATTCGTTACAGACTTCTTGTTCATCAACATACCAAATGTTTGCAATGGCAACCGCTGGGCCATTTCACTGCGAAGACTAAAGGACGGCTTTTGAAAAATTGGAGAATTTTTCCTGTTTCTATTAGATCTCAATTCAATATCATCTGTGCCAACATGAGGAATTAAAGAATAGATATAAAGAATAGATATACAATTTACAAATGCTACTCACCGTCAGATGTATTACTCACAAACTTGGGAAATGTATTATTAACCTTCCGATATTTTATGAGACTAGCATCTGTGACTGGAATGTCTGATCTGAAAAGAGAACCACTAAACTATATTATTGTATCGAAATATTTAGGGTTTAAATGATTATTATTTCTACAAAAAATTAAAACAATTTTGCTTATGAATTAATTAATTAATAGCAGTATTCGATTATTATTTGATTATAAATTTAAATAGGCACAATATTTCATAAACAATTTCAACTCTACATTTAATTAAATTTTTTCTTATCGGAATAAAAACATAGCCAACTTTACTTAGTAAAGTAATTTTTTCAATCGAGATGCTCTTTTAATGCACTATTAGTGTATTTTCATTTTCAATTAGTAAATCCGAAACAAATTTATAACACTCGAGATACATTTATAACACTCTAGATATTTTGCTAAAGTAGCACGATTACGCTGAAATTAATAGTTGTTTTATATGATTTGACAGATAAAGTGTGATTTGATTCGATATATGTATTTATGAAATATATAAATGTCTACTAATATCACTACAAAAATGTTAGATTGGATAACAAAATTTAAAAACTCGAGAGTAAATCTAGATTTCCCAATCAAAAGTGCCATTAGATTTATAAAATGTTGACATTTACGTAGACATTTAGACATTTATGTACTTTAATGATTCGAAGTCTACTTTATAATTATATATACTTTAATGATTCAAAATTTCTTAAAAATACTTACCTACGCTTACGTGATCTATCCGGTTCATTATTATTGGTCAAACTGATTCCGAAAAGCTTCTTAAGTTTATTAACAATATCAACACCCATTTGATGATTTTCACCGTATTTATAATCACGATTGTCTTCCTTTAAATATCGATTTATATATCTGTTACTGCAGAAACTTGCTTCACTGCCGTTCCAGCTGACTTCGCTACAAGGTAAAAGATCCGGTAATTGGCGGACTTTACGTTTCTCTGCTTCTTTAGAATATAATTCGCTATCAGACTGCAGCGTTTGTTCAATGCGATTCCTTAACAATAACCCTGGAATATTGCGTTTACTTTTATATTTTGGACTGTCTTTCGATATTTTCTGAAAAAATAAATAGTTTTATCACATGTTTTGATTTTTAATTATTAAGAAAATTAAAAAAAAAGTTTAAGTTTACCTTTTGCGCAACACCTATCAAACTTTTATTTCTCTTAAGTGCTGTACGTTGCTTAGTTTTAATTACGTCAATTTTACTACTGTTCGAAATTAAATTATAATGGTCTGAAAAACCGTTTTGTTGGCGATGTGCAAACTGTTCATTTATAATTGAAGGCGACGCACCTCCATTACTTACATCCCGTGCGTCAATTAAATCAATGAAGCTATCTTCCTTTTCTGCGAAGGTGATATTTGCATTTATATTCAAATTCGAATTAGATAAATCCTCTAAGAAGCTTCTATTATTTTTACTTAACACTGAACGGCCGCCAACGTCAGCCTGCTTAGTTAAATGAAAATCATCAACCGCAAAATCCTGCCTTTTTTCTGTTGGTTTAATTTTTTGCACGTGTGAAATATTGTTTTCCAAGCACGATGGTTCAATGTACATTTCACTAAAAATAATCGAAATATTGTTATAAAGCAGACTTACACCATTACAAGTGCGATGCACTAAATGCACCATGTACCAATTTCAATTATTAAAGTGTATACAATTTTCTATATGATTGCAATAATAGAATAAAATAACTATCGAATCTTTCAAATTTCTCAAATTCCAACTACACTCAAACTACATAATTTTAGCAAAAATTTGCCGTACCCGCTTCTCGTTTTAGTGCCCGAATAAGAAAAAGCCGCCGCAACGATTGGTGACATTTGTATTCCTCGAATCAAAAGTTGTCAGCACTGTTTTGACAATTCAAAAAACCGAATGTCTGGTTGTTCAATGGATTCTTCAATTATCATAAAACACATAAATAATAAAATGTAATAATGAAATTAACTTTACTTATGTCATGAAAATGTATATTAAATGTATATTAAATTTTAAAATTATAAATATTTATTATATTATTAGAAGTTGAAGTGTTTTATCTATTAGTTGGCAATATTAATTAATAATGACAGTTCAGCTATTACATCGTGTAAATATGGGTACTGAGGAACCCATTTTAATAATCAAAAGTAAAATGACACAAGAAAAATTACTCACAATAATAAATTCAACGTTATTAATACGCAAAAACCAAAAACTACAAAATGTTTTGGGTAAATAGGCCGATAATTAATTAATTGAGAGATTAATAATTGAGAGAAATATATTCTGATGCAAATTTAAAAACAAAACAAATGCATATACATAATTAATATAACAAAATTGTAATAATTATGACACGTAATATTAGCTGCGTTTCAGCAAACAACAATCCGCTCAATTTTACATGCAAAACAATAACAATGGGGTGAACTGGCAATTAATCTGGTTCACATTTTCGTTCAATGTGGAATGTATGTACAAAAAAAAGTGGAACGTATTTTGATGAAAATATTGTTGGCAATGCGATTTTAACATATAAAGGTGTATCCACACCAAAGCGAATGCTTGCGAACGAACGGACGTTCGCAGGTAATGGTACTTTCAAAAGTTCGTTCGTTCGCATGCGTTCGTTTGATGTGGATGTACCTTGATACGGTGCAGTAAAAAATATAAACAAAACTACAATAATAATTATTTATTATATATATGTATTTATTTAATATGTTATTAATATTTTATTTAAAGTAAAATATTAATTATTACTATAATTAAAGTTATTACTTAAACTATTCATGTTTTGTTGTTATTAATATTTATTGTTATGTAATAATTTATTAAAATGAAATAATTTGAAATGAATATATAAAAATTGAGACAAATTGTTTTATTGAATTAAAACAGAACAATAAATAATTTACTTGTTAACCACTTCAAGATATTGAGAATATATTGTCTTACTCATTATGAACTGTATCATTCTGTGTACAACATATATGTATTATGCAATATGCATGTGCACATAATTAGATTTGTTACTGAAGGTGTTCTTCGTTATACCATAAAATGCAACAATCAACGACCAAAAATATCTTCTATGACAATCCTTGCCTACAAATGCATTATATGCAGATCAGGAGATATGCAAAATCTCCTAAAATAAAAGAACCGCTGGGAAATTTGTTTGGAAATGATACTGTACTATAAAGATACGATCTACGCAAAACTCGGCTGCTGTGTAAGGAACTAGACTTTCCAACATATACGTCTATAAAAATACCATTTGCATTGCAAACTGCCTGCAAGATTAAACTGTAATAATGCTTTCTATTGGTATAAGCCTCCATGCTGATTCTTTCAGCAAAGAAGATCGACATTGTTTGCTAAAACGCAGCTATTATCGGTTTATTGCATACTGTTTTTTTGATTGTCTTGCCGTTGGAGTAATTAATTTTTCGACTAATATTCCAATTAATTACGGTTTTTTAACATATAGGATAACACTTAACGCATCTATTTATGATGAAATAACTTTTTGTTAGTACATTTAACAATAAAGTGACACTTCCACGAACAAGTAAATATGCAGTAATTTACTTATTACGCTGTATTAAGCTGTAAAATATTGATTTTTTACTTATTACGCTGTAAAACATTGATTTTTAGCCGCTGTAAAACATTGATTTTTAGCCGCTGTGAATTGTCGAGATGACAATGTGACTTCATTTTAATTTTTTATTATGTTATTAATGATTGCTTAATTATCACAATAACTTTTTATATTTTGCTTTATGCATATCTTAAAAAATAGTTTTTATAAAGATTAGTATATGACTAAACACTTATTATAGTTATTTTAAATATGTGCAATAATATTGTGTTAGTACTAATCATTTTTCTCTATTGTCGGAAACATAATTAGAAAATATTTAAAATATGTTAAAAATTATATTTTTAGAACCTTTTATTGTAATAAGAAATTTTAATTGTAATTTAGATTATGATAAATCCAATGTAATTATTTTTGCTATCAAATCATAGCATTTCAGTTACAACACAGGGTTGTGTTTGAATCGGAATTGAATGTGTGTTAAGAAATAATGAAACAGACATATGTCATTTATATTAGAAATAATTGGATTATGTCAGACGTAATTGGTTTTTATATTAAATAAAGTTAAAAATAACAAACGCAAAATAAGTTTTGTTTATTATAATAAAGAAGTCAAATCATCGGCTTGAATACCTATCCAAACATTGTGATACTTTAATTTGAAAATAATTTATTCATTTTAAAAAGTAATGGCATTTGAACGAGCGAGAATAATAGTTCTTATTTAGACGTTATTTAAAAACTTGTATTAAATGCGACTCTTTTAAGGTTGGCAATCATTTTCCATTTATCTGGATATCTTTGATATGCTTAGTGAAGGTTAGATTGATTACAAAGTACACGTTATTCTTTTCGAGTGTATTATATCAATCAATAAGTTACTATTAAACATCTACAATATTATAAATAAATTTAAATTAAACAAGTTTGCGATACAATTTTTATAAATTTTATTTGCTTATGAAACTTTTTGTTACCGACTGACTAAATTAATTTCATATGTAATATTAAGAATCTTTTTAACATAAATATTGAATTTTTTTGCAAACCAAACAATACTAGAGGTTTTTAAAAGACAACAAAGAAAAGTAATACTGAAGAACTATAAAGCGTACCAGAAAAGCCTACGCTCGCTTGGAATGAGAAATGTTCCACAACCCAATGTGCAAGGGCGCCCCATAGAAGTATTAGGAAGGAATTTGTTAAATGTACTGGAAACCGAATCGCATTCCATTGCGCTCGCGACATACTCATTTGAAAAACTTCCTCTTGTAAAAAAAGAGTTACTGCCTGTCCAAACCCCAAAAGTACAGAGGAAACGCTGAGTAGCAGCTTTGAAGTAGAGAAACTTATAACTATATTAAAAACGAAGAAAGTAATAAATCTTTAAGAAAGTGAGTGTAATTTATAAAAATTTCGAACTCACATATAAGAGCTAATCCTTTGCAAATACAGCCTAATGTGTGCCACTGAATTTTTCGCTTATAAAGACTATTTCCGAATCGAGGTGTCATTAAGGAAAAGCACATCCATGGAAATGCTAGCAACGAAAACAAGAAAGGAATTTCGGCATTTTTCAGAGCATGATGGCTCACAGCTAGGCTTGGTAATACAGTTAAGCACATAACGTACGAAAATATGTCAGCCGATAGATAAAACGTAGTACTATAAAGTTTTGGAATAAGTAAAGCATGTTTCAATGGCGATACGATCTTGTCTATTAAATTGCTCAAGATGTGGGAAGTAACATTTCGAGAGAACTGTTGTAATTTCTCCTGTACAAATAGAAAATCGTTATATGTTTATTTTTTTCAAAAAGCCAAATAAATACCAAATTTCCAGCTTCAACCGTGTCCACATGATGCAGCCCATTTGAATTAGATTTATTCATGTTTTGAGATGCACCAACGCTCACACGTCCATAATTATCGATCGTTGCTGTGCTAGAACGAATAACTGAAACGTTTTCATCTTCTTCGGGAATAATTTCCATTATCTCCACGCCGTTTGGATTTACAAAGGTCACATAGTCGGTCGGTAATAAGTAGTCGTGCGTGTCCGCCGTTGCTGCCACTAATGCTGCTGCTGTATGATGATCTATTATTGGATTCTTCCAACTGCGTTGCAATTGCATTTCAATGCCATCCATTTGATCGGCGAAATTAGAAGAAAACCTTCCAAGTTGGTGGTGCAATGGGGTAAATGCGGTTTCTGCTTTTATTACCGAAATGCGCTTTGTAATGGCTCCTTCGTGGTGCCGTGTAATAATCAAGCTAATTGGTATTAAATTTACCAAGAGTGCTGACATGAGGACAATAGATTGTGCAGTACCATAAAGTGTTCGAAGACTGGTAAAAACAAACGATAAGAATAGTTGACAAAATGCCTCACCGCATAATTGAATTGTTTTACGCACGAATTTGTCTTCGCGTGGACGAACTGCTTCGAATCTGAAAGCATATTGATTTTTATCTTTATATTTAATAACTAATTTATCGAATAAAAAATTACATTACGTGTGTTTTCCAGATAAATAGGCTGGAACCAACGCCTATAAAAAGTTGATGTCATTAGTCGTATAAAATAATATAAATCATAATAAGTATGTGATTTATGTGTGCATATATTGTTCAGATTATATTAACCTCTATTTTTTTTACTATTGTTATTTCAGATATTCGCACTTTCAGACGTCATCTTCACTTGCTAACAATAGTTTAAAAAATAAAAGAGGTTAATCTAATGTTGATCTGAATAACATATTCTACATATATACCTATCATATAATGAATTATTTGTATATAGCTATTAGTCTCCGAATACAGTAGAGTACTATGTGTTTAATTGATTTTTTGCACCGTCTTTAGATAAATAAAAACCAATTAGTTTGTTTAGAGAATTCCAAATTATGGTTGTTGAAGACTTATTGATAATCCATAGGATTAGGACCTTTAACCTTAGCATTCTTTATTATTCCTTTCTCCATATTATACTTCATATATTACAAGTCACTCGTAGAGTAAAACTAAAATAAATTTTTACATAATAAAACTATGTGAAATTGATGCACTAAGCGTTACTATTCCATATTTTAAAACCCATTTTCCTTATATTATTTGGAAGGCATGCCACAAACATTACAATATTAAAACTGCAAGCAATTTTCTGACATGAAATGAACAAACTCAATCATTACTAATTTTAATCTAAACAAAAACATTTTGATGTGAATTCAACTATCTGAATTATTGTTGTTATTATTTTTATCAAAGTTTAGATTACTATTCACTCTCTGTCGTGTGTCTCTTCACTATCCATATCCATATATACTTACCAGCGAAAAAACCATAGAAAACGATTGCTATTGCTTGTGTTGTTGTTGTGACAGTAACCCATGCCGAGGAGAAGAAAAAGCCACTTATCATTAGCGAAACACAGGTGATTGCAGTCGCAAATAGGAATACGCGCCGATACTGGGAAGTTTCACGTGGACGACCACGATATTCCGTATCCAAATGGTCTAATATTGAACGGCACAGTTGACCGGTTGCTTGAAAAACTATCGCTGGCCAGATACGCAACACCAAATCTTTATCAGACTCCACAATGTTACCGTAGAGATAAGCAGGAGTAGACAAGAACGCCTCAAAGCAAAAACAAAAATAAAAATAATAAAGTTAAATAGTTGTCACTGATAAGCGGCGTGAGTGATAATAATACAGCGAGTTTTGAGAAAATTTGTCTATGAATTTGTTTATAGATGGAGTTAAAATACTTGGTATATATATATATTGGAGAATTACTATGTACATGTATAGCGAACCCACACAGCAAGTACTTTTGTTGAATGTGCTTTTTAATTACGCGTCTCCTTTGAACTCCGGCAGTTGCTACAGCCGCAGCTGATCGCGGAGTTCGACGGATACCACCCGGCGAAGGTATCAACGAGGTTTCCAACGGATTTCGAGGCATATTTGTTTCCCGATGTGTGTTATTAATAGAATGCAGTTCCATTTAAATAATATTGACTAACGTTAGTTTTTCTGGGGATCTGGATAAGACTAGAATGCGCTTTAAGTCTCAACGTATAATCTTTTTTATGTATTGCGTATTATGTATAAATTTATTTTTTTATGGTGATTCTAGTATTGAGCAATTAAAATCATCACATCACTAAAAATTTTTTGTTTGTGTTTGCTTGAGTAAGCAGATACAATTAAATTTATTTGTGCTCTGATAAGAACTTTTATCACAAGATTATGTCTACGAGATTAGCAAATATTCAGATAGGTAAAGACACCCACACACATCACTAAAACCTAAACGGACGGGTATTGACTACGAAAATGCATAAGTTGGAGCAATGCAGTATTTTTTATCCAAAAGTATTTTATGTGCACAAATGAATTGATCACAAATATCACAAATATCACAAATCCTTAAATGCGAATACGAATACGAGCCTGAAACCGGAAACATCGAAAATAATCCAAAATACAGAAACTTAGAGTGCAGTCTAATGTTGCTGAGCCCGCAGACTAGCAACTCATATGACTGCGCACATACAGGAAGTATTCCATTGATTGTGCTCTGGTTTCTGCGATTAACTGCTTTCGTTGTTCTGATAAAACCTCCCGTATATCGTCGTATCTCTTGACATACTGATATGAGTTGATTTACTTGCCATCTACTCAACCCGCCTAAATGATTGAGAAGTACAGAACTTAGAACGTTTATGTAGAGAAGAAAGTGAAGCGTCGTTATCTTGCTTGCTTTAGAGACATCGACCAACGACTTAGCACAGCCGTCAAAGTGAAAATGAATATTTTGCTTATGCCAATCTGATTATTTTTATCTAAAAGTTCAAATTTCAATAAAGTGACGCAATCTAAAAGTATGCAACACTTTTTGTGAATTGAGTCTTCTGTAAATCATTGAACCACACTGTTAACTCAAATTAAAAGACTGTGTAGAGCAGGATAGCATAGAAGTACAATACCTGACTGTATACTGTTTAATGAAAAAGAAATTTTAGAATGTACTCCTGCTTTAACGGAAAATACTAGTATCAATCATATCATTTTAGCATCCTCTTGCCATTATATGTTAAACGGCTTAACAATCTTGAGAGTTGAAAGCTCGCAAATCATTTATACGTTTAGAAATAATTAAAAATAAAGGAACGTCTCCGTATGTCTGCAAACGGAAATTGAATGCAAGATTTTTTGGAATACAAGTAATAACATAAAACCCGTAAGTGTAATTTCTAACTGATTTTCACGGATAGCTATTTCCCTTAGATTTTTAACTTCCATAAAGTGCAATATTTGTTCTTACCTCTATTGTATGCATCCGGTTTGATGCAGAGATTTCGGTCAAGGTTGTAAGATTTGTTTTGTATCACCGAAATGCACTCATAACGCAAGATAGTTGATAGCTGCAAGTGCGTATTTGCGAAGCGTCGAGATTAGGAAACTAGCGGTTACAATCAAGCCATAACTGTTGTTTTCTGTGTAAGTATTTATCTAAGATTACTAAAAGCAAATAGTATCTCACAGTTTATATAGCTTCGAAGTTGATGCGTAACGCAATAGTTAACAACGAATTTTCGAAATGAGAGATCAGAAAAGATGGATTTTAGCTGCGGTTTGCATTTTGGTAAGATTTTGAGAAAGAATTGCAAATTATAAATTAATTTCAGGATTTCGATATTATTTTTGCAGCAAATTACGAAATGCATCTCTGGAGACGGATCATCTGAAAGTGTTCACTTACTCACTGAAAATGTAGTGACAACTACAGAATACGTTGCAGATTTAAAAGTGATAAAGGACGAAATCGCTGCCAACTTTGAAGAGGTTGACTTTGTTAACTTAATGATTTCTTCAGGGGATGGAATGCCAGTTGTCATAGATGTCCCAAGAGGCACTGCAGTTGTAGAATTTGTAAAGGAAAACGATGTAGAGCAGAAAATAGCAGTTAATAAAGATATAGAAGAAAGTATTTTAAGTAGCAGCACAAAAAATTTTCAACTGGACACTAAGAAAATGATTGATATTAGTGATTCCAAAGCAGTATTCGTAACTGTTGAAGATGCTATAACGACCATTTCAACAGTTTCGCATGATGACTATAAATTAAAAACTTACACCGAAAATATATTCGATGAGAACAAAGTGAATATAAAATATGAAACAGAGACATTTACATCAATGAATCCAGAAAATTGCGAACAGGCTTGTTTAGATGGAACTATTACGGAATGTGAATGTCCAAAAAATATTATAACAAGTGAAAGCATAAGCAAAACAAGATCTACAGAGTGTGATAAAGAAGATACTGAGGATGAGAAAAGTTCCACTACAGAATCAGAACACATTACAACAACTATAACTACTGAACATGCTGACGTTGTGGAAGAGACCACTATTGAACCGGATCGAACTACAATAACTACAACTAGTAATGTGGTTGAAGCGCATGTCGGGCAAACTTGTTCTATTATTGGAAATACTCCACATGAGAGCGATTGTCATTCCTATTATTTATGCTCACTTAACCCACTGACGAATCGATTTGAGCTGGGATTAAAAAAGTGTCCATTAGGTACAGCATACAGTCTAGAACTCGATCGCTGTGCAAGAGACTTATCAGCTTGCAGTGATGACGATTTTAATTGTACGTTTTCCGGACCAATTCCTGAATTTCATAGAAATGATTCATATTATTTGTGCATACCGCATGTCACAGGTGTTGAAGGCTTTTACAAATTTCATATCATTTGTCCAGTTGGAATGGTTTATAATGAGTTTCTTGAAAAATGTTTCTATGACTTCAATAATCTGAATAACTTAGTTGGCATGGTTGATGAGAAAGCCAGTGATGAGGATGTGGTGAGCCATGAGTTAAAGGAGTATAAAATGATTGTAAAAACAGCACTCAAAACTCAAAAATTGAAAGCAAAAGTTGAAAAAAAATTGGAAAAGGAATTAGCGAAGAAAGCAAAAAAGGATGCTAAAGCAAAACTGAAAGCGAACAATGAAACTTTTGTTTGCACCGAAGAGGGACAGTTTGGTTCAAATTCAGATCCAGCAATGTATTTTATGTGCATCAGTAAAAAAGGACAGCTGTCGGCAATCCCTATGCTGTGTAATGTTGGTCAAGTATTCGTACCAAATGAAGGATCTTGCGTAGTGCCTGAAGTAGTGGGTTCCTAACCACTAGATACTTGTAACGATTTTACATTTACTAATAGAAGTTTAATAAAATCAAAAAAATATTCTTTATTTAATTATTTCATAGAAAAAAGTCATCGCCTCCAAGCGAAAACATCTACGATTTCGAGTCTGATAACAAAGTTTTGAGTCATTGCATTTTGTACGATAAAATAAAATAAAATAGTAGGTAAATAATTTTCTTATCGTGAACTAATTTACAATCTAATATTTTTGTTCCAATGTGAATCTTTGTTGGGTTTATTTTTGTCAAGGTTATTTTCGGAATATGTAATCCCAATCAGTATTTCACATTTTTATTATGTGAAGCCGAAACGTTGTTCAGAGAATATACTAAATTGTTCTCTTTTTGTTTAGATAAATTGAGTTTGTTTGTATTGTCTTAGGTATATTTATAAATTTTATGTGAGATAATAATAGGCTCATTTGCAGATTCACAGAAATTTATTTTATTGAGCTTTTCATTATTATTATTTTGTCAATTGTTGTAATTTTCTAAACTTTCTAAAATTGACTTAAAAAAATGACAAAAATGTTTAAAAATGTTGAAGCCAATGAATTTTACACATTTCTCAGGTTCTCAGTTGTATATATGGTACATATGTTATGCACCACAATATGTTCTCCTTTAATTAAACCTTCACGTTGATGCCTCAATAGTAGTGTATTCTGAAAAGCGACTTTTATGTCTTAACAATACTTTCTTCACGAGCATGGCAGAGGTAAGGCACATGGACTTTGTCCTGGGGATGTCCCCAGGTTGGTTCAACAAGTAAAATATACTAAAACAACTACGTTTAGTGTAAACTGCCGCCCTCTATGCTGTTTTAAGACATCACAATAGACAGTAGAAAACTCTAAATAAAGGTGTTTTTAGTTGTATCAGCATGCTTCGTCTTCACTCAACCTTATATCTTTTCGACAGACTGTGTTTATTGCATTTCATGACAGCAAAAGTTTAATCTCTCATGGTTGAATCTCAATCGAACCTGAAAATCTGTTTATTTTTTTTAATAATATAAATCAAAGATTTGAAATATATCGTCAGTTTCTGATAATAAGTGTTGCAAAATAAATTTTAATTTTTCTTTTTTGTAGAAATAATTGCGCAAATATTTATTGAAGTCTATCTTCTGCACATTAAGCCTTATGATATCGGCAATAAACAATAAATGCAATTGCATAACTTTAAAATATTAAATCAATTAGCCGTCCTAATATTAACGGGTCTCATCAGTCTAAATCACCTCAACTTACCATCGCATTTTTCGAAGATTAGTGAAAGCTGTATTAACCACGATTTTAACCGATTTTAAGTTTTGACGAAAAAATTTAGACCTCAAAAATCTTCAATGCACAAAATAAAAAAATTTATAAATAATTCAAAATTCCATGATGACAAATTTTATTGAAATGCAAAATTTTGAACTGAAGCCGCCAAAAAGGGACTGCAGTTGTGAGTGCCTCTGATACGCAGTCCGGACACGTCTCATTTAATGCAGATATCTTTAGCTCAACTTAAAGTATCTCAAAATCACAAAAAATGATATCGGTTCGTTTTTTGCATTTCAATTGTTGATATTACGTTACGCAGTGCTTAATTTACGGGACGTGAGAGCCATTTCCGAATCTGGCCCGTAATAGCCAAAGACCGAACGACGTCAACTGACTTCAACGCAACAAACAATTTTAATTTAATTCAATTTTAAGCTGTAAGATTGATAACATTTCAAAAATAGTTAAAAACGTAAAAACGTAGTAACACTTTCATTTGACAACAATACAACAATACAACAACACAGAAAGACAAAAAGACAACAACAAATTCGAAATGCAAAACAATCATGACCTTTTGTTAATTTCTTTAAATGTTTCATGTTTTAATTTTTTGTCGTTTCTTGATGTCATCTGTGGTAATTTGCGATGAATTGTCTTACAGCTCAAAACAACAAATGTAATGACATTAAATTTGTGTTTAACAACAAATTCAGAAGAGGCAAGTGCTCCCCTCATTACAATTCCGAGTTCGAACGCAGTGCCTCTGTGGCAGTTGCTGTGATTTCTTACGTAACTCTTTTTAAATTTTTTCACTTTTCGAAAATCCGATGTCAAGACACGTGTCTGTGTTTATCTTCAAAAGCAATCTCAAACACGAAAGGTATAAGATGTATATACTTTGGAAATATGTATCCTTCGATCACAAAGTCACCTCCGCACTGCAGTGCATATGAATCTCATTTCAAAAATCGAAATCATATCTGACTTATTACCCCTGCGGTATCAATAACCATATGTCAATTAGGTTGGTTAACTACTAAACCAATATAATTGATAGTCGGGCAGTAATGGAAGCTCTCTCTACTACCCATCAGGTTACAACAAGACTAAAGCCAAAGTCTTTTAATATCTTTGACTCATAAACTCATTTATGAGTTTATCAGATCCTATGGATTGAAGATGTAAAATTGCATGACAGGAAAGGAGCAAGTTTTCTGCTTATAGGTAATCATTCTGTGGCTTGGAAGGTATAATTGCTACTTATTTAATCGGGAAGAAGAGGAGAAGTAACGATTCTGTGATAATTTGCCAGACTTATCA